ATAAAGCCTAGCTTTCGGGCCCTCAGTCTTTTCCATTGTCATTCTGATTGTTGTTGCACTCCGACCCTCGTCGTACACAACATTACGGCGTCAACCTGCATCTATCCTAATTAAGCCAGAAAACCGTACAGCGCAAAGACGAGCGTTTAATGGGATCCAGTCCAGTAAGGCACTTCCAGCCTCGTAGTTAAGCGCGACTCCCACACCATAGATAACATGAGCCATTGCGTCAGAATCACCGGATACTGAAGCATGTAATTAAGCCAGAAAACCGTACAGCGCAAAGACGAGCGTTTAATGGGATCCAGTCCAGTAAGGCACTTCCAGCCTCGTAGTTAAGCGCGACTCCCACACCATAGATAACATGAGCCATTGCGTCAGAATCACCGGATACCTGAAGACTGAAATGTGGAACATCTTAGTTCATCCTAAGCGGCTTGAGGTCCACGACCAAAGCGGGGTCCTGAATACGTGTTTCGGAGACAAATACACCGACAAATGGGGAAAGCAAGGTTTCCGTAAAGAATACCTTTTGCTCAATTTGACATAAAGTATGGACATTAAAGGCTGCAATGTGGGTCAGATGTTATGAGATTAGTATGTGGTTATCTTTGTTTATTTTTTTGGCCAACGGTTTAGGCAAGTAAGTGTCTAGGTGACTAGCAGATAATTTGGTGGCACTGCATCGTTTGACGGGTGGAGAGGGTGTGTAAGAGAAGGCCGGTGAGCGAAGAGCATATATAACGAATGATACTTCCCAGTTGCCGAAGCCGTTTTACTGCACGCGGTTTCTCGACCAGTTCAAATCCCTTGAAGAAATACCGTTTACACATGGATGAACAAGTGCGATGAAAATGCAACGGATACTTACTCATGTAGTTCTTCATCACGGGAGATCCGTCATCAAGAGTGCCAAGGTTATCGTGTTCAACAAGTTGCGGTTGTTTGCTATGGTAAAACCGAATGGTATGTCCGAACACAGAAATCCCATTGTAGTACCGATGGATGAAATCGGCAGCCTCCGCGTTCCCCACCTGCACCATCGCACAACCGGGGCGTGATTTCAGGAACTTGACTCGTGCGACGTTACCATAGACACACAACAGATTAAACAGGTGATCACAATTGAACGTAAGCGGTAAGTTGCATACCATAAGTACAACACCTTCGATGCATTCAAAAACAGATTCAGTCGGCAACGGTTGAAGTGCAGCGGTCGATAAGTTTGAAGTAGCGTGACCAACGCCAATACCCCCAGGAGTGACCTGATGCACGGGTGCCGGTGAAGGGAGAATTCTAATCCTAGTGAGAGGTTTGAAGGATGCACTTTGAATGGTCGAGCGAACAATGGGCATTTCAGATGGTGTTGCTGGAGGAGGGTAGTAGGCAGGATACTGAGGGTAAGGATATACCATTCCGGCGGCTGGAGGATACATTGGAGGTACTCTGTAGGCCGGGTATGCGTAGTAAGCGAACGGTGGAGGTGGTGGGCACGGTGGAACTGGTTGCATCGGATTCGGTGTGGGTATCAAACCTGGCTGACTTGGCGCAGCGGTGGGTATTGTTGGCGGGGGAGGCGATTGTGAGACTGCTGGATAGAGGGGAGCCCCAGACCCAAGTAAAGTACGACTAGCGGAGGCGTTTCCGAGGGGGCCCTGGACACATGCGTTGGGACCAGAAAAATCCCAGGATTCGCTGTCGTTTTTCGTCACATGAACCTTCTGGACTTTTGAGAAAGTTGCAGTAAGACTGCAACAACCAGAATATATATCTGCTCCATCTAGATGCTCTTTGGCCTTCGCCGCATCTTTAGGGGATTCAAATTCGACAAGAACCTCAAGCGAACGGTCTACATTCTTCTTCCCAATGAAAACACGGACTAATTTACCATGAGGTTCACATATTGACCTTATGACGTCAACGGTGATGGGATAATCAGCAGCAGCAACATCCAGATGGAGGATGCACGTAGCCTCCTCTCCTGGTGGTAACAATGTCCCCTTCGGTTCCGGCTGCCGACTAGAGGAAAAGGTAATCGTTTCCGAAGAGAACTCTAGTCGCACTCGATTGGGACCAACGTGAAATGGGTTTATTTTAGCCATATGCACCAAACGTGTCGGAGAAGATATTTCGCAGAACTCTACGAGGGCTGCTTTTCCATTACACACAACCTTGGCGTTCTTTACTTCACCAAACTGTCGAAAGATGCTAATTAAGTCCTGTTCAGAACAGCCAGTCGGCAGTTCGTAAACGACGATTGTACAACTTGGATGCGTTGTGATTAAATAGGACACATCAGGTGACAAATGAAGATTAGTGGGAACGATACCCGTTGTGTTGTAAAACTGAGCAGTAGCAACACCCACCGTATCGTAACGAGAGCGCTTCGCCGGGCTAGTCATCTCGTGGATTTAACGAGGAAAACGATTGAGGAGTCAAAAAGCTACAAGTAAATTGAGAAAACGATAACCATTATAATCATCACCAGCAGTGGCAGAGTAACAGACCATTGTTGCAGGGTCGCAAGGAAAATGGGACCATACTAATCACTATCGTCCGCTGCACATATACAAATGGCCTACTGAAAAAAGTGGAAAACAAGATATTGTGTGTAAAATCAGTTACTCGTATGGGAGTAACAGCAATCCCCTCCAAAAGTCCGTATAGCGAGCTATTTAGCAATAACTCGCGAAATAACATACGCGCGATAGCAATCAATATTTTGGACCGCCGAAAGCATGTTATTTCTATTGTAATGAACTAGTTAGCAATTCGTCTGGCTGCATCAACAATATGATAGATCTGTCCAGTAACAACGAGATAGTACTTCGGTCTAGGAAAAATTCCTCCTACAAAATAGTGATTTTTTTCAGTCTTGGTTTCTCTACTGCTGAAGCCCCTTTAGAACACACCAAGCATGAAGATCAGACCAATGATCAACTTATACGAAATGCGCTTACCAGTATGGTCAACCGCATTGCCTAAACACGGTCTAAGCCATCTGAATCGGCCATAACAGACAGATTTAATCAACCAGGTGGACGCGACAAAAACACAGGCGGCTGTAACTGTTTCCACTCGTCAACGAATATTAAATGGGCGGGACATCCGTATCTGTCCTAATTTTGGAACTGTCCTTATTGGAGCTCATCAGCAGTGCATATCCCTGGACAAGGGGTAAGGTGACTCAAGTGGTTAGAGCGCGAAGTTACTGACCAGGAGGTCCGTGGTTCGAACCCGACCTCTGCCTCTCGACTTCGCCTATCATTCAACTGTAGCACTCTTTCGGTGCCTAGCTGCCATTCCGCCCGAAGGAAGCACGAGGACTGGGATACTGCCAGGTCGCCCAAGCCTAGACAAGGGAAGTCACCTATTTAGACTTGGGCAACCTGACAGTATCCCAGCTCTCGTGCTTCCTTCGGGTAGCATGGAAACTATGCACCGGAAGGGCCTTACATCTGAACGATTATATATCGATCCCTGGACAAGCAGGAAGTTCAAACTCGAACATACGACATGCGAGGCCAGCGTGTTACTATACTCCACCAGCGCATGCTGAACGCATTAGAATCCTCACACCTGAACAGATGAATCCCTCGTATATGAGGAGTTCATGAAAGGCTTCGTAAGATTTTAATAACAAATATAGCCTTACTTTGGTTTGTGTGCACTGCAACAGCGTCTTTTCACTGTTTTTTCCAGTTGCACTCCGTCTTTTTTTAAGGAGTAACGGTTTTTTAAATACAATCCCCGGCGACTTACACGGCTTCTACATGCATGTGATGCGAGTGTTGTTGGCACAAATCAGCGATACCTAATGCGCCATCTGATGATTATGTGTAACTATACAGTCGCAAATGAGGTAGTTATTGTAAGGTCCAAATTGTATGGGACGAGCAAATAAGAGATTGTTCATGGGTTTGTGGTAATAGCATCAGCCCAATTATCCTAGTGAGTCTACACCGAAGAGAAGCACTGGCGTCACGTCACTTAAGCGTACACACGTCCGCCTGTTCGGGCGCGAGAGTTCGAATGCGATCAACATGCACTGGCGGAGTCGTGGTAACACGCTCGCCTCGCATGTCAGATCCCCAAGGTTCAAAGGCCGGCACAGCCAACAATATGTACTGCTGGCAAGCTCTAATAAGGGGTGAAAATCAAATCTTTGGTGTGGACTCAACAGAATGGCGCCAGGATAAGACTCCTGAAAGTTTTCAGAACGCCAATCCTGAAAACCCCTACAACACCTACAACTATATGTTGCGCGTATTGTTGACCAAACAGTAATATACATCTGAACCTTTCACTCCTCTGAAAGGAAAATCTGAGTTAATCCGCCGACTACGCATTCTTCTTACTTCAACGCATACCTCCCTATAGCACCGATCAAGCACACCATGTAGCAAAATCGTTTTGTGCTCGCATTTCGACCCTGACGTCGTATACTAAATCTCTGGATTTGTTCTTCACATGAGCTTTGCCTCCATGGGTATCTGCAGGTATCCTATCTTCTTTCATAAAATTTCTTATGAATTTCCTATGCTCTTCCGCCAGCCAAGAAGGTATACATCAATGGGATTCCGAATGGCTCTTCTCAATTAGGTGGTAATGCGGCTAATGCACACCCTAAAGAGCAACCAGTAACGACCAGCCACAACCGCGGGTATTGGGTGGTTTACCAAAACGTCTCAAGGTCACGGATTCAAGGATTGCTGCACGGGATCGAGGCTTTGGCCCAAGTTTCCCGGGTCGGTTTTGTTCTTGTCGGTCAGTGGCTGTCGTTCACCTGAAAGGCACAAGTGAAAAAAGGGTGTAGCACTGCTCTTTATGTTCTCAGCGCAGGGCAGTATGCTTGC